GTCGACCGCACCACTCAGCTTGGTGTCATCTGCAAACTTGCTGAGGGTGCACTCGATCCCACTGTCTATGTCATTGATGAAGACATTAAACAGTACTGGTCCCAATACGGACCCCTGCAGGATGCCACTCGTCACCAACCTCCATCTGGACATTGAGCTGTTGAGCACTACCCTCTGGATGCGACCATCTAACCAATTCCTCGCCCTTTACCAGACAGTCCACCCATCAAATCCGTATCTCTCCAGTTTAGAGAGGAGGATGTTGTGGGGGACCGTGTCAAAGGCCTTACAGAGGTCCAGATAGATGACATCTGTAGCCCTTCCTGTGTCCACTGATGTAGTCACTCCATCATAGAAGGCCACTAGATTAGTCAGACAGGACTTGCCCTTGGTGAAGCCATGCTGGCTGTCTCAAATCACCTCCCTGTCCTCCATGTGCCTTAGCATAGCTCCCAGGAGGATCTTCCATGTTTTCTGTAGGAACCTTCTATCTGTTTGTCTTTTGGGATCTTTGATTACAGGCCCTTTCTAGGGAACTCTTCCTTAGACTTTGTAAATTAAAGTTGCACTGGAAATATAGAAGAGTAGGTTTTTTAAAGTCATCTTAAATGACATTACATCAGTTTCTTTGGTTTAAACTGAATTATATGTGCTTCATCTGTCACAAATGGCTTGGCACGTGTCTGTTGTTTTTGTGACCCCAACACTGCAGGAGTTTCAGTAATTACAACTGCTTTGTCAGATTGGGTTGTGTTACCATTTTAAAGACTTTCTAGCACTTTGTTAATCCAAATTTTTACAGGTTTGCCTGTGGTGGTGGGGGAAGCTATTCCCGTAATTGGTTACTTTTTCTCTGAAAGATGGGTGGCCTGGTAGGATAAAATCACAGTAACCTTTAGTGTGCTTTTTGAGGACAGAACAGAAGAGCTAATTCACCAAAAACTGTAAAGTGTTTATGGCTGGCATTTCCAGAGATACCTTTATTAAAGACCCCACGTCCAGCAATACCTTGAAGAATTATGTGCAGTCCTGAAAATCACAACACTGAACAATTTGGAAAGGAATCTGGGTTTTCAGGCACTGTCAGGTTGTTTTTCCTCGAGAGACAAGAAGTACGTGTAAAGCAAATGCTCATGCAATTTCAGCACTGTTTTTAGTAGTTCAGTTTACAAAAATGAAAGGCTAATAAAATCTGTTTAGTTGAAAGCTAAACAGATTTGGCTAATTTCCTAATTCTTGTCTTGCTCAATTTTCCTTTGCCAGTCAAATGAACAATATAAACGTGGAAACCTTGAGGGCTTGCGTCTTGGTATTTATGCCCCAGGCCTGTTAGCTTTGCTGTGGGCCCAGATACCCTTTGTTTGCTGTCATACCCATTTAAGCTATCATTTTCTATTTGAAGACTTAGAGGTGATGTTCCTTGACTGTTTTATAAGAGAAACAAACAAAAAAATCACTTTTCATGCTAGAAGCTGCAGTGATTTACAGTAGCAGTGGCCTTGCTGACAGTTCAGTTAAGAAGAACATGTCTTCTGGTAGCAGTTTTGTTGTGATAAATAAGTATCACTTTTAATAATACCAGTTCTGATTTGCACGCTTCCATTTCTGTAGTGTAATTTCTAATGTGAAGTGATCAGTATATAATGTACCAGAAAGCTTTGATTCATCTGCAGTGGTGGACTAAAATTGGATTGCTGAGTGGGGTGCCAGTCTGGTTGTGGGCCCCTCCCTGCAGCTGGTATGGCTCAGCAGCTTGTGGAACAGCTGCTGAACTGCTGTTTAGCTCCATGTATTAAACAAAACCCACTTTGGTATCTGCTCAGTGTGCAACTTGTAATTTGTAGTGGTCCAGCATCTGTGCTGCAAACAGCTGAGGGCTCTGTACAGTGGGGATGGGAGAATCCTTACAGCTATCCAAAAGTAACCAGGCTGTACTTGTTAACTGGAGCCCTTGAGGTATGTTACCATACAGGATTGACCGAGGTGTGAACTGCTACAGTCTGTGCTAGATGTGAGCATCTGTGTGCATATCCATGATGGCTTCCCCAGACTGTTCTTCCACCTGCTTGCTTGTGTCTCATATAAGAATACCTTAGGCAGAAATAAAGATATTGTTAAACTGTCATCAAAACTCTCAAACCGTGATAAGCCTTGGTAAAGGGGCTTTTTGTTTTGGCCCTGCCTGCCTGCCATAACCATAGTATTAGTCAGCTTTTAGAAGACTTCTGTCCTTCAAGAAAGGGTGTTGAAGGACTCTGTGCTTCACTGAGGAGACTGTAAATTCCTGCAGAATGGCTAGCCTGCAGCTTGACTGAAAGCTGGATGTCGAGTTATAACATTAGCCTTAACTGGATAAGCTGGCGTGAATGCAAATCTGCTAGATCTGGCTTAGAGATCTCACCGTATGGACTGTGAGGGAAAAGCATGTTAATTCTGCACCGTAAGTCTGCGTAGCTGTAACTAGTGCACTACTCTGGCAAAAAGGGGGCTTAACTCATTGAAATGGAGGTCCTATCCAGGGACTGCAACGCTGGAGTAAAACATTTTGATTTGAGAAGTCTTCATGCATGAGTTGTTGCCTGCCACAGGGGGTGCTGACTTTTGAGGATCGTTTCTGTCACTCTTTGAGCAGCGTTTCACTGCGGCTGAGTAACATGGTCACCTGGGGGAGAACTGACAGCTTCTTTGTTGCTTCCCTTGAGCTTTGTATTTGACTTCTAGAAGGCAAATAATGTCTTCAGTTATGTTTTTGATCCGTGATCTGTGGAGCTAATACAATCTATAAGCTGCCAGTTAGCACCACTGTGATGGAATTTCACTTGCTGCAGCATTTAATTCAGCTGTTTTGTAAACATAGTTCGTATATATGAGATTCTTCATACTTAAGCTGGTTGGTATCCACGATTACCAGAAGACAAAATAACTCTTAAGGTGACAATCTTCTAAAGTCTCCAGTGATACTGCTTTTAGCCCTGAGGTTTATAAGAAATGCAACCCAACTTTTGTGATGCAACCTAGTACAAAAATGAACACTTGTGGTTTAGTTCAAACTGTCCCTCTTGAACCTGACACCTCATTTTTGTTCCTGTCCTCTAAGGCAGTGGTCTCCAAAGTGGAGTGTGCCAGATGTTTCATTGGGGTGCAGGAAGAAAATATACTTTGTACCATTAGTAAATATAATAGAAACTTTAAAACAGTGTTTACTTCATCTTTATCTCAGCCTTTTTCAATTTCTATTTTTGTGTATGTTTATAATCTACCTAATAGTACAGTAGTGCATGTATATGATTTATAAATATACATATATTGGGGGTGCACACTCAAAATTTTTTACTGATGGGGTGCACAATCAAAAAAGTTTGGAGGCTGCTGCTCTAAGGCATTTGGGGCAATTGGAAGCGTATTTGGGCACTAGAACCTTTCCAGGTTCATCGTGGATAACAAGCTAAAGGTGTCAGGGCCTGGCATGCTGATGCAGGATTTTGAAATGTATTAGTTTAATGATGCTGGCTTTATGGTGATGTTTTCCCTGGCCATAATAAAGGCTGCATTCCTAGGCTGAGACCTTCCTGAGGCGTTATTTTCCCAGCTGAGGTCTCAGTTCTACTAAGAACTGTAACTTAGTCTCTCTGTCAGTTGGAGGTAGTCACTCTTTTACAGAGCAAGAATGTAGTTTGGGTTGAGGGAAGGTTGTTCTGCTTGAGCACTGACAAGTGTCCTTCAGTGTTTATTAGTATGAGGTCTTCTCCAAGATGAAAACCTATATCAAGAGATAGTATGTAAGATGCTTGCTTTAGGTACATACAGATTATACTAAATTTTTAAAACTAATAAAAAGCTTTTCTTGAAAAAGAATGGCAAGCCTATTGTAGAACTTTTTCATGAGAGTGTGGCAGCCAGTCAGGCTGACTATAATACAACACTGTTCACCTCTGTCACGAGTGTAAGTAAATCTTCCAACTGTTGTTTGAGCAGGTGAATATAGTCTCACTTTATGGTGAAATGAACCAAAACGAGGAAGAGGGACATGGATAGTATTGTTTGATGTCTGTACACTGGACTGAGTGAACAGTTCTAAATATTAAATCATGTTGTTTTACCAGACGAATGAACAGAAACATGTTCTCTTACAGGTTTTGGAAGGAAGGATGTTGTAGAGCACTTGCTACAGACAGGAGCCAACGTTCATGCTCGTGACGACGGAGGGCTGATACCCCTTCACAACGCCTGTTCCTTTGGTCATGCTGAAGTGGTTAGTCTGTTACTGTGTCAAGGGGCAGACCCAAATGCTAGAGACAATTGGAACTACACTCCTTTGCATGAAGCTGCTATCAAGGGGAAGATAGATGTGTGTATTGGTAAGTGTCCGTCACTTCTCATATTGAAACTTTACCAGATATGTGTTTTGTGCAGTTGTAACTGTTAATGTGCTAGAATTGAGATGAAAGATATTGGTTGTTCTTAACAGCGAACTTTTTAAACTAGCAGGTAGGTATAGCGATAGTCACTTAAGACTAACTTTTTCGTAGTGTATAATGCAAGCTTTGCTGAATTTGCATCTGGAAAACTAACCTGGGGAGGTTGGGTAAAGTCTCCTCATCTGTTAAATTACAATATTAAAAATCTGAATATGGAAGTTTGTCTTGGTTGCTCTCAAGAAAACTAGTTTCTCTAGGTAAAGTCTTCGCTTTTCGGGCTACTCTATATGTCATCTTAGTGGTTAAGAAGATGGTTAACCTTTCATTCTACACAGTATGAGGAAACATCTCATTAGTCCTTTGGAGCTTTCAAATACAAGTTACAGGACACCATTGTTCACAGTGGTTATATATCTTCAGTGTGGGTGCTGTAGCCTGGAGCAAAGCAATTTCAAATAAAATTGAACACTTCAATAATTTTAAATGTATCTAGAACATATAAACAGCTTTTCAGTCAGGATGTCTTTAATTTTTACGGTTTTTCTCAGTGTATTTAGTATTACTTTTTTCTAAGTGGGAACTTTTATTTTTATTTTTTCACTCAGATCAGTTCCGTGAACTTATTTATCAGTACTGGTTCTTCTCACATCTGCTAACTTAAATGGTCTGCTCAACATTGTGTTTTTTATCAAACGTGGAAAAAAAAGCTTGATTTTTTAGGAACTGCAGTTAAGATTATGAACATGAGATTTGTTCTATATGTTATCCAGATAACAAGACACAATTTTCAGAATTTCAGATAATGTCTATTTGCTTGAAGACTTACTACATAAAATTCCTGCAGAGAAAGCTACAAAACTTAACCGGGCAAGTTCTTGTATTAGCTTTATTGCAATACTTATGTCATTACTTAAAAAAACACCAAAGATTGAGGGAAAGAAAACTGGAGGAAACACCGAAATATAAATTTTAGTCTATTTCTTCTCTTTAGAAGGAATGTGATGGACTTCATTCATTCCATCTCTGTGTGCGAGGTAAAACATATGCAGAATATGCTACAGAAGTTACTGAGTATAGTTGATTATGCAGCAGTACTGTGGGAAGAGATCCACTGATATAGTAGGTCCCAATAACAGTCTGTTGTGACAACGGTGAATGGAAAAGTAAATTTGATTCCAGTCAGTAACTGGGGTTTTGTATGTGACTTAAAGAAAGTAATTACTTTGGTCTGTTCAGTGCTGGAGTCTGCCTGGCTTTGGGAATTGCTGACTGAAAATACGAATTAAATGGGAGAAGGTTGACAGTAAGAGGCTCCTTTACGCCTGTAAAGGAGGATTGGGTTTGTTTGCTTTGGAAAAGGTTTGTCTTGCTCAGTCTTTTGAAGCCTTGTTATAAAGCAGGAGGGGGTGCAGCTGTGCACCTTTGTGTTCATAGGTGATAGAATGAAAGATGGTTGCAACAGAAGATTTTAGGATTTAGGGAGGCAGCATGGGTAGTGTAGCTTTGGGTGGTTTGTCTAAAGACCCTGTGGTACTCTTCGGAGGAAATTGGGCAGGTCAGATCAAGGTAGCAGATTATGTGGTACATCAATTTTGATGTACAATATTGACAGTAATTTGAGATTATTTAGATTTAATTTCCATAAGCGAAGAACTGATGATACCTTTAAAGCCATACTCTAATTCAGCAACAAGTTGTGGGCTTGGTGAAAGGAGGTACAGAATCAAATTTATGGCTTGTATTACACACAACTTTATTCTGTGTTCCATGCGCAGATTAGATCTGTGACTCTAAACGTTAGATGTTAGACTAAGGAGATGATCTATATATATAAAATATTCAGCACGTGGTACTGGTCAAATCCTAAAGCTCTTCTGCTGTCCGCTGCGGTTGTAGGGTTCCTTGGAAGCACTGAGCAGGTCTGCAGGACTAGATGCAGTTCTCCTTAAAAAGCTACTTGCAGGGAGACTGGAGTGTGGGAATTTTTAAAAAAAATTGTTTTAAACAAGCACACATGATGCTGTTGTGCTCAGTTTAGTTACGGATATCCATGTATGTTGTACTTCAGTCAGATATTTGGTCTGTCAATGCGAGAGTTATTACTGAAGGCAGTGTCACCAGTCACTAGATTTAATATGTACCATAGTATGATGCTTCTTTGGGATTTAGTTGATTCCATAAAACTGCTAGGACATGAGTATAGACAAAGAGTGAGTTTGTTTGCAATTTATATCTAGTGGGCAAGCATGTTTTGCTGTCTTTGGCAAGTTTCTGTTTCTTTTCAATGGTTTTATATATAATTTTTATATTAAGGTCTTCAGCTTTTATCTCAAAGTCTTTTGAAGGAACACATTATGCACAGGGATAACGGAACAATGATTGCTTAGGGCATGAATTCTGACTAGGAATACTTGAATAGCTTTCTGGAATATATTGTACAGTACTGCTATTTACACCTTAGTGTAGACTGTTACAGTAGATATGATGGAAGAAATTGGCCTTTTAAAAAAAATTTTTTTTTTTACAAAAATCACATTCTTAGAGTATTCTTTTTTAAACAAGCAAGGCATGCTTTTAAAAAAACGTTAACTGAAGAATAGTCTCTGGAAATCCTGGCATAACATAGAATTTATTGCTGAACTTAGATATCTGTCTGAAAAACAATAGACTGTGTAGGAATTGGTCATCTAGCCTCATTTTTGGCTACCTATTCTTGGCATCTTCTTCCAAATGATGTAATGGAAGAGAATTTTCCAATGTATCTTCTCTTCTTTCCTTCTGTGCCACTCCAGTCTGCCTCTTTTCTTTATCATATCTAGCATAGAATGCTGTTCTTCTGGCCACTTTACAGGTCAAAAAGACAAAATGATAATTGAACAGAGCGCGGAGATGCAGCGCATTCATGAATAATGATTTTTCAGAGGAAAACTCAAGGCATTGAAGCAGAGTGGGAAGACCAGCAAAAGCTAGGCAGTGATTGCAATACAACTATAGAATGTTCTTGTGTCTAGCAGTAGCCTTGGAATGGAGTGTGCATATTTATGCTAAAAGTACTATGAGTGCTCAGCTGTACAGCCGAGTTCAGACTAATAGGTACAAACCCTGCCACTGGGAAGCTTATGTGGAAATAAGAAGTGTACATGAGCTGGTAAAAACTTGTCAGACTATGTACAAACTTCTACTCCAGGAAACTGTAAGACAGCAAATGACTGATATGATTTCTTGTTCTTCTGTTTTACTGGTTGTGTATTACAGTCATAGGACAGTGTAGGAACTTAAAGGGAGAGAATGCAAATGTGCTGAGTTTGAGAGGAATATGGACTGTGGCTCTTTTAGGTGGCAGTTGCTTTTGTGTCCTGGGTCTGGAGGTGTAGGAGAACTTGGAGGATGGTAAGCAGTGCTCAGCTGATTTGCTGACCATCTCTTATAATGTATTTAGTCGCTGCAGATTTGTTTAGTTGCTAAGTAATTTAGTCCATTTGATAGTGTTGTTTGCCATATGTAATCAATTTTTGGACTAAATGTATTGAAGCATTAAAACCAATTGTTAGATAGTGTTCTCCAGTATTTATGGCTTCTAGGGGATTGCTTTATCTGTCAGGAAGATGCATTTTCAATGTCTGTGGACTGCTTCTAGAGCTAATGAAAAGTGTTTTTGTTCCTCACTGTCACATTTACTCATGAAATAATGAATGAATGGTGAACTCTGCAAAGTGTGTTTGACGTCAGGGTAGTGACTGTTCTGCAGGTCGGGCTGGGGAGAAAGGATGATCTATTTCTGGTCTGACCACAGTATAGACTTTCAGATGAAAAGATCCATGGAGCTCACTTCTCTCCAACAATGATATGTAGCAGATGCTCAGAGGCTGTGAATGGCTTGAGCATATCCTTCTTTCTCATGGCAATCAGCAATTTAGGATCTTGATAAAGTAGAGGCTGCATCTGGACTGTGTTGCATAGCCACTGGCATACAAAATTCTTGAAAGATAGCTCTAATCACTTCTTAAATGCTGCTATACTTCTGGCTTTGAAGGTGTTCTGTGTCAAGAGAATTTTACAGTTTAATAGTCTTGCAGGAAGAAAACAACTCTTCCTTTTCTCTAAAATGTTATTCTTGATGACTTTTATTGCAAGCCATTCAGGACTTCCGTGAGAAACAGTGAACAGTCATTTCTATTTGCACTCTGCATATCCTTTGTGATTTTATAGGCCTCTATCTTTTCTTCCCTCAAATGTGTCTTTTCCAAGCTGAAAAACTTAGTCACCCGTCATGTTATCCTGTTGAATATTCTGGTATTTTTGACTTTTTTTTTAGGGTGAGGGGTTGGTATGTGGGGGTACAGACATCAAAACTGGGTGTAGTAGATTTATAGGGTGACTTAATGTTCTTTCTGTTTTGGTTTTCTGGTTGCTGAGCACTGAATGGGAGTAGCTCCAAGGTATTTCCTGAGTGGTGACAGCTCCTTTAAAACTGTGTGTTTGTGCAACACACAGTTTTTTGTTTTTAAAAAAAAAAACAAAAACAAAAAACCTAGGCTAAAAATAGCCTTACAGAAGCTGTGCTTATGCAGTTTGTCTGGGCTTGATTTGCCCTCCACTGTGTGTCTGCAGAGGCTGTAGTTGTTCCTGCAGAGATTTTTCTCTTTTTTTTCCAGGTGGATCTCCAGTTAAGTGTTGTGAGAACTGTAGCACTGCTAGCCTAAAAGTGATCTCAGATGTGGTACACCTGCCTAGTTTTTAAGGGCATCCTTCACAAATATGCAAACTGTGAACATCTTCTATGGTGATGCCATGATTTATGGATCTGAACATACAGGGTATTTTAGTAATTTTAGGGAAATAAAAAATTCTAGCTACTGAAAAGCTCCCTTCAACACTGTACAAAACTGTAAAATTTTTTTAAAATTACTTTTAGTCCATGCAGTGCCAAGAATCCATCA